TATATTTTATAATATTTTTTAAATTTTAATTAATAATTAATAAAATTTATAATATTTTATTTATAATATTTTTAAAAAATAAATAACCAAATACTATAATAATTTTGTTACAAGTATAATATAACACAATTTAATATATATATTTTTTAAGATTGATTATACAATAAAAGACAACTTTCTCTTTTTTTATTTCACATCACTTACATATTATGTAACTCATATTTAATACTTTTTACTTCGATGAAAAAACATTATCTTTAAATTGCTTAAATTGTTCACCAATTCAATACAATTTCAATTACAATTAGAATACTTCGCAGCAATTCCAACTACAATTAGAGTACTTCGCAGCAATTTCAGCACTGACAACCATTCTTATCGGGCGATAATGCTGGCATTCATGTAATTCGGAAATCAAACAGGGTCAAATTCTTCACAGTCAACCATTTATGCGTTTCATCGCTTTTCCCTTTCTCCCTTCCACATCGTTTCCGTTGAGGAAAAAAAAAGGACCGTACAAAAAATTAAAAAAACACATACACACACACAGAAACAGAATCCAACGATGGAACCTGTCGACCTCAACGAAATCCATGAAACCAACAGCAACACCGTCGACCATGGCTGGCAGAAGGTGACCTACGCGAAGCGACAGCAGCGAAAGGCCAAGCCGAACGCGGATGCGGAGAAGGCCGCCGCTCACCAGAACGGAACCCTAGTTAACGGCGGTAGAAATGTTTTCTCGTCGATTGAGAAGCAGTCGGAGGATCGTCGCCAGCGGATCCTGGAAGCTCAGAGGCTCGCGGCTGTCAATGCGGAAGTTAATGAGAAGCCGAAGCGCAGATGGGGGGACGATGAGGATGAGGACGAGGATAGTGATCTTGAGGAGCCGAAGGAGAATGGAAAGGCGGAGGAAGTAAAGAAGCCGAAGCAGAAGAAGCCGAAGAAGCCTAAGGTCACTGTTGCGGAGGCCGCCGCCAAGATTGACCCCTCCGATCTCGCTGCATTTCTCGCTGATATATCTGTAAGTGGATATGAATGCATCCCTGGGTTGCTTAGATTTGTTGGTTATGATGGTATGCTGTTGGAATTGGATGTGAAATGGCAGATTTGTTTGCAATTGATCAGTGGATTTCTTATCTGGCTAATTGTGAATAATTGATTGATAAAAATTGCTTCTTTGGAGATAGGGATCATATGAGGATCAGCAGGATATACAGATGATGAGGTTTGCTGATTATTTCGGAAGGGCATTTTCTGGAGTGAGTGCATCCCAGTTTCCCTGGGTGAAGGTGTTCAGGGAGAGTACGGTCGCCAAGCTTGCTGACGTGAGTTAATCTTGATTTGCTTTTCTTTTTGTTTTGTTCTCTGTACTTGTTGCCATTATGTTTGTTGCTTTATATATTGTCCTTTTTGTAATTTACATTTTTGATCTGATAAGTTAAAGAAACTCTGTTGATGGTGTGCGTTTAAAAAATTCATATTCATTTTGTTTCTTCACCTCGATCAATCTGAACAGCCCCTGGTTGATAGATGGTAATCATTCGATCAAAAAATTTCTATTCTAGTTGTTTTGGGGTTTCCTCCATTTATCATAGCTGAAACCTGAAATTTTTGGGGGGTGAGGGTAACTCTGGGTTTCTATTCGATAGCTTTTTTTGCTCTCTCTCTCTCTCTATATATATATATTGTTATGGTTTCATTTGTGCTGCAGACCTTATTTGTTGTTTGCTTGTTTCATATACTGGTGTAAAAAACGTGTCTGTCCTCTCTGTCTTTAGTTGGTAACTTGGTATGACCATTGTTAGTCTTGCAAATGCTGCCATAGCATTATATCTTCCATAAAAAATTACTATCAAACATTTTGTTTGAAATTTGTAACCAATTCTAAGTTTTAGTCTCAAATGGCTTGCGGTATTGATTGCCCATGCTTGTGATACCTGAGCTGTGGGTATCATCCTTGCATCTTTTTGTTTAATGCCAATGAAACTGTGGGGTTTTTTTTTTTTTTTTTTTGGGTAGCTTTTGATCTTAATTTGTTTATTACCTGTTTTAGGACTTTCTTTGACCTAATCACTTGACCCTTATTCCTTGAACAGATTCCTCTTTCTCAAATTTCTGACACTGTTTATAAGACATCAGCTGATTGGATTAACCAACGCACAATTGAGGCACTCAGTTCCTTTATATTATGGTCACTAGGTTGCATCTTTGATGACTTAGCAGCCCAGCATGCCAGTGCCAAGGGAGCCAAGAAGGCACCGCAACAAGGGTCGTCAAAGTCTCAGGTAGCTTGAAACCTGCTTTGCGATTAACTTGTTTTCGTCTTGTTTAAGCATTATTTTGATATTCAATTTTGTTGGTCTTTCTAGTGGATGTTGTTGCTTCTTTTGAACATATGTATAGTTTTATTTGTTAGGAAATGTGCCGTACTCAATTCCTAGCATTCTGTAATTTTTGTAGTGAGCCACTATATTTAGTAATTGTTATGTATTTTTGAAAAAAGCACATGCAAAAATACCTATAAAAATTGCAAAGTTGTGCATTCTATTAACTATTGGTTTGAAATTGAGTGGTGTTTGCTTAAACTAGGTGGCACTGTTGTCATTATCATTTCTGAACATGATTGGTAGATAACTGATCTTAGGAACACTGTATTTTGAGGGGTTCCACCCACCTCTTTTCAAATGATTGTGTGTATGAAACTGACTGTTTCTTTATTGTGATCCTTTTCTGGGTTAATATGCATGGTCTTGTGACCGCTAACATCTACCTCAGAGTCCATTGATGTGGTGTTGAGATGTTATCATGTTGAATGGCAGGTTGGAATATTTGTGGCTTTAGCTATGGTACTGCGACGTAAACCTGATGCCTTAATTAGTGTACTGCCAACAATAAGAGAAAATTCAAAGTATCAAGGACAAGATAAGCTTCCAGTTACCATATGGATGATAACTCAGGTGAGTAGGTGAAAGCAACACAAGTTTTGTTCTTGGCTCAGTTTGGAAAGCAGCTTTTATCTGTTTCCATTTTATTTCACTTCTCAATGAAATTTTCTTTTGTAGGCTTCTCAAGGAGATTTGGCTGTAGGGCTGTACTCCTGGTCTCATTACCTCTTACCAGTAGTCAGTAGCAAAAACTGTAATCCTCAGTCCAGGGATCTAATATTACAGTTAGTGGAAAGGTATTGAAGCTTCTATGGCTAATCCTTCTACTCTCTAATTTTTCCCATGACCCTGATTTTTCTGTTAGAATTTCTCCATGGCTCTTAGTCATTTGTCAATGACACTCTCTGGGCACAGGATCCTGGCTGCACCAAAAGCCCAAACGATTTTAGTAAATGCTGCCGTTAGAAAGGGAGAGCGATTGGTTCCCCCTCCTGCATTTGAGATGCTACTCCGAGTTACCTTCCCAGCATCTTCAGCTAGGGTAAAGGTAGGGTTTTGGTTTTGATTTTGATTTGATTGAGCATCTACGCTAATTCTGCGTAGACGTATATGGTAATGTTGTTCTCACTTTGATTTGGAATCAAATGCAGGCTACTGAAAGGTTTGAGGCCATATACCCAACACTAAAGGAGGTTGCTCTTACTGGTTCTCATGGAAGCAAAGCAATGAAACAAGTATCACAACAGATACTGAATTTTGTGATCAAAGCTGCAGGGGAAAGTATGTATCTTCAAATTACTCACTTTTCTTCTCCGTAGTTCACTATCCATGTTAGCCCAAATGTCCCTTTAATCCCCATGGTGGGCTCTATAATGAAGATTGGTTGGGATATTCTTATTTAAACAGGCTCTCCTGAGTTATCCAAGGAAGCTGCTGGAATTGTCATTTGGTGTTTGTCAGAGAATGATGACTGTTATAGACAATGGGTGAGTTTTGTTTTATTTCATCTAGAACTCATGTAATTTTATAATTTAACTTTGTTGATTTCTTGTCATGGCTTTATTATTGAATCTACTTGTCAATCTTCTTTTACTTGGTGACAACAGGAAAAGGTTTATCAGGACAATATAGAAGCTAGTGTTGCTGTTTTGAAAAGGCTCTCTGAGGACTGGAAGGAATACTCTGTGAAATTGGTTCCTGTGGACCACCTGAGTGAAACTGTCAAGGATTTTAGGCAGAAGGTAATCCTTGGTTATATGATGGATAAATGGAGCAGCATTTGCGCTCTTTTTCATATTATACATTGATCAAGGCAATTGAACACAGCAAAATTGCTAGGAACTTGTCAAAGAATTTGTAAAATGCATGATTAGGTAAATGATTTATTGAAGTCACTTCAAGCCCTGATTTGACTATCTTTCCGCCATTTTGTAGAACGAGAAAGCAATGGCTTGTGGATCAGATGCTGCTAAGGAAGCACTGTTCCGAGATGCAGACAAGTATTGTAAGGTGATATTGGGAAGGTTATCACGTGGCCATGGTTGCATGAAATTTGTGGCCTTTGTTGCTGTAGCAGTAGCTGTTGGTGCTGCTGTGATGTCCCCAAACATTGAGGGTTGGGACTGGAATAAACTCACTTTAGCTTTCAGCTCTCAATAATCTTCATGAGCAGGCAGCCTGTTGTTAGTTTGGCAACAAAATGTTGCAAGTAAAAGCACCATCTAAGTTTTAGATAGTAGCTTTTATCCGTTTTTAATTTATGATCTTGAGTTTCTAACTGGAAAGAGAAAGGGAAATCTTTTGTTCTAGTTATGTTGGAAAATGATCTGGTGACTGGCATACGTTGTGAGAATACAGGTTTAATTTCTTTTAAGTTAGCAGAGCTAAAATAAGGAAAATGAGGAAATCAAGTTGAGGGGTCTACTGTACTAAGAATGACATGTTGAGTTTTGTAGTAGATTACCATCAAATTTAACAGGGGATTTGGTTGGTGAAATTCATCAGAGTTTCTCCTTGAGGAAGTTTTAATTTTCGCATATTTTCCTGTGCCTTTGCTTTTGAGTTGCATTTACTCTCGATTTTAATGATGTTTGGTCCAACTTCTGAAAAAATTTCTTTGTTATAAAAGCAGTTGGGTCGGTCAAAAGCACTTCAAAAAAAAAAAAAAAAAAAAAAAAAAAAAACACC